CTAAGTGTGGAGCCTGCAACAGAGCCCAGAGGAGCTTCTCGAATCCACAGCCTGCCGTTGTTAATTTCCTGCCCTCCCACCCGGTGCCAGGCTCTCTTCAGGTGCGGGGAACACGACCTGGGCAGCCAGACTCTGCCTTGTGGCGCCCCCACTCTGGAGGAACCCACCAGTGAGCACGGTCACGTGTGACAGGGCTGCTCACTCTCAGATGCCCAAGGGCGATCTGTTCTTGCTGAGCGCAACAGAGGCGCACAGGATTCAGACGTCTGGAGCCCAAAGACCCAGTTCAAACCCAAGTGCTGCCGTGTAACTCAGTCTAGGTTTTTCTGAGCCTATTTCCTCATCAGGAAAATAGGAGATTACCACGGGCCTCCCTGGGCTACGGATTAAACGGTCAACACCTGGAGGTCACTCAGCACACAGCAGAAACTAAGTGGGCTCGTATACAATAAAACGGGGACGGCACTAAGCCCGCTGCTAACGCCTTTCTTTATTGCTTTTGGTTTTTCCATGAAGCTGAAAAACCACTGGACTACTCTGCCCTCGATAACCGCTTCCTTCGCAGAACTCCTTCTTGTCTTTGTAATCACACTCAAAGCTTGATGATTAACTTTCCTGCCCTTTCATTTCATCGCCTCTTTATGTTGCAGGCCTTAGTCTTGCTTTCCTAACTACTCTGTACACTCCTTGAGGCAAGGGGTCACGTTTTGTGTTTTCTTGGTCAGCTTCCTGCAGCCTAACCATCTAGCACGGTCCCGGGAAACCAGGATGTTGTGCTGACTGACCAACATGACCACTTCCAGGGAAAAGCCTGATGGTCAGCGGGAAGGGTGGGGAGACGGGACGGTGGGCGTCTTGGGGGCCCGACGGCTTTGGGGGAAAGGAGGCAGCCAGAGCATAGGCAGAGACCAAGGGGGGCTGTCGTTAGGCTTCGCAGCTCTGACTCCATTCAGACTAAGGGCCTCTCGAGCTGCCTTTACCTCTGTCTTTCCCATTCTGCATCTTCTCCTCTTCTTCCTCTGCACCTTCCTCAGCTGTGAAAACAAGTGCGGGGAAGCCAATGACCCTTCAGCACAGCACAGGCATACAAGGGGTTAAGGGAGGCTTGGACGAAGCCCTAGCTGATGGCGCAGGGCGCAGGCAGTCACCTGTCTGCACGCACATGGAGACCCGCGGGGGAGCTGCCCACAGAAGCAGAGCAGGGTGGTGGCCCCCGCCTGCTGCTGGCTCTGCCGCTGGCTCCCCGGTGACGGGGTGACGGGGTGGGGGTGCCTGCCTCTTCTCCACGTGTTCTCCCTCAGTGACAGCGTAGGCTAGGGATACAGCTAATACCTGATTCATGTCAAGAAAACGACCATGAAAGTGTGTAGTGGAGAATATCTAGACTAATGCTGGCTTCTGTAAAAAATAAGTAAATCTAGGTTTTAGCTGACAACTTAAAACAACCAGCCACTAAAAGTGGCTGTAGGGGAAAAACAGCCGCTGAGGCGTTACCTGGGGGCGCTTCTCGGGGGGCCCCAGGTTGCGCTCTGCAGGGCAGAGTCCCTGGGACTCGCCTGGAATTGGGACCATGAGACACCAGCGTCCCCCTGGCGAGGGCAAGCGGATGGCGAAGTGGAGAGCACATCACGTTAGCACAGACTGAAGGCGGGCAGTCGTCTCGAGAGGCTGAGAGCCATGCTGCCTGCCATCCAACTCCTGAGAGGCTGAGAAGACACTGGCCTTATTCTGGGGAGCTCTGGGGGTGGCTGTTTGGTTACAGAAAGGCTGATAAGGCTGCCCCCAAAGGGCTTCCTTATACGAGAGCTGGCTGTGAACCCGCTCACTGAAAATATTCCAGCAGAGGTGTTTATCTGGGCAGAGGCTGTATGGAAGGGCAAAGCCCCTTTCCAACGCTTGACTCCATGATCTGTAAAGACATTTCCAGAAACCATGGAAGGAAGCTATGGAGCGCTCACCTGCGCATCACACCCAACCAGAACCTGCACAGAGATGGTGAGAATGTGTGGAGTCGGGCCAGGCCTCCCATTCACGGAAAAGGGGCAACCTGGTCAGCAAGGGGAGTCTGTTTCTGCCTCGACAGGGCTGCGGTGCCACGTGGCTTTTGTCCGTGTCCACCCACGGCCCTGAGAGAGCAGCGCGTCCCGGAGAGGGCCCCGCGAGGGCGGCCCGTTCGCCACTGTGTCTGGCGGGGACGGGCGGGCGGAGAAGAGCTTCTGCCTCATGTTCTTCCTACTCGCGCTCCACCAGCCGCGCCCCTTGGGCTGCACAACTTCGGGCAAATCTTTCTTCAGAGAATCACCTACTGCACGGCCTAACGTTGGGGGGGCCGGATGAGGCCATCGCTGGAGCACCTCGCAAGTGACTGTGCAAAACTTGCTGAAAACCCTTCCCCCCTAATGAGAGACTGCCCGGCACCCAGGGAAGTGTGTGGCTCTGAACCCACTCGGTCTCTCTGTGCTTTGTGGTCACACCCCAGAGCCCCAGGACCAAGAGCCTGAGACGGAGTGGTCCCGTGGCACACGTGGGGTTCACTTCCGTGGCCTGAAATTCCCCAGAAAAGTGAGATTTCTGGCTTCTTTGGGGCTCTGGTAGGGCAGGGGCTTCCTAATCACCCGTACGGTCTTCCCCAAAGCCATCACCTCTTCTGTTTGTGTGTGTGGAGGGGGCAGCGGTTCTGACGGAGACTGAGACGTGGAACCGCAGTGTCCAGCACGCACCCTGGGGAGGGGCGGGCGTCCCGTCTAAGCTGCGCGGGGAGAACGACCTCGGCCACTCACTCATCCTCTCTAGGCGGCACAGGCTGGAGAGGCGGTGGGTGGGTCAGACCTCGGCCCGCTGAGCGCGACCACACGGAGGCAAGTGTTTCTCTGCTGGGATCTGAGGGACTCCGGGGCTGGCCATCCCCAGAAGTGCGGGCTGGTGACTACAGTGTCTGCGCTTGAATAAGTGTGTGCTTTTATCTAAAACATGGCCAAGCCGCTTCAAGGTATGTAACAGCACCATATCGGTGACAAGCAGCGACCCAGCCGTGGGCAGGGGACCCGTGCTGCCCGTGTGGCGTGGGACTCCACGCTGCCAATAGCTAGTGAACAGCTGGTGGACACAAAGCCGAGGGAGCCACGGAGGCCTCGAAGACAGGTGCTAGGCCAATGGCCTTTCATAGCTTCTCTTTCCCGGGCTTTGTGTTAGGGGAAATGCCATGGGCAAGCGTCTCTGCAAAATCACGGAAATAGCTAAGTGATGGGAGACCAAGACAGAAGCCAAATAGATTCACTGCACGAGGAGTGAAGGAAGCCGGACAGTCGTGAACGTCACGTGAAAGCAGAACCTAGCCGTGGACAAGAGGTAGGAACAAGGTTTCAGAGGCAAATCAGACAGGAGAGAGCAGGAAGGCGGCTGGAGGGAGTCCGGAAGCTCTGGTGGCTTCTTCGGTTCCAGTCATTCGGGAAAGCGTCAGAGAGAGACGGTGGTGAGGCCTGGGGAAAGAGCGGCTGTGGACGGGGCGCGAAGCCAGGCACCCTACGCGAGGAAGCGGCCTGGCTGTCCCTAGAGAGCGGGATTTCTGCACTTCCTGGACTGTGCGCCACGAGGCATCTCCTTAAGAGAAAGCTAAACGCAATTATCTGTGTGTGACCATGCCCGGGGGGAGGCTCAGGGTAGGACATCCGGGGTGTTCCTGGAAGGCAAAGGGACTGTGTGGTGACATGAGATGACGTGTGTTAATGTGACACTTCAGCGCGTGTGGGCCGCGGCAGGAGGGCGTGAGGCCGGGCGGGAGCTCTGCTTCACCTGAGTGGAGCTCCTTCACCAGGGACGACATGGTGTTGGTGATGGAGTCCGCAGCCACCAGCAGGTCATTGCGGAGGTTTCTCCTCGTACCTGAGGAGAGTCAGAGCAGATGGCGATGCCAGGTGGGTGAGCAGGGAGGGCGAACCTCAGGGGCCAGGCCCTGGGACACAGGGCAGGACACCCGGGAGGCGGGGCCCGAGCCCGGCCCGGGGCGCGGGGCCATGGCAACTCCAACTTCTCAGCCGCAGCCTAGAGTTGGGATCCAGAACAGGCACGGACCCAAGGTGCTCACCTGCGCAGGCCTTTCCTCTCCAGCATCGCCACCACCTCCCCTTTCCTCGCCTGAGCCCCAATAAGCTCTCCTGACCCGCCTGTCTTCCCCCAACTACAGAAACTGCTGCTCACCAGCTCCTTGGAGGACTGTGGCGTCCCAGCCCCAAAGAGCCTGCAGCAAGATTCTATTTCGAGTTCCATCCTTCCTTCCCTTGCTGGCTCTAAAGACTTTCCAGGCCAAGCACATGACTTGCGGGATTATATCATCCAATTCCTTGGAGGAGGCAGAACCCAAAGGACAAGGGACTTCCCACAACGCAGAGAAAGAGCACAGCCCCAGGCGGCCCTTCTCTGCGCGTGGAAGGCCTCCAGACCCCCCAGTGGCCAGCAGCCCATCTAATGAGAAGGGGCTGGCACCGACTGACCGTTCAGAGCTAAGTGCACAGAAGAAACTCAAAAAATCTCAGCAGGAATCCTGCCCGTTTCCAGCCCCCTCAGCGCCCGGCTGATCTCTGCTCCCGAAACTCACCTTGTGCAAAGGCCTCCTGCATGTCGCCCCCCACTCCGCCCAGCGGGTCCTGCGGGCAGTGCGTGGGGGTGGAGCCGGCCGACGTGGAGCGGACGGGCATGGGCATCGGGCGGCCGCCTCCGTGCGTCGGGGATGTGTGTGGTGATGCTGCGGCCTGAGCCTGGAGAAGTGGAGAAGCTGTGTTACCTCGGGTCCCTCACCTCTCGGAAGAGGGGAGAGGCCATCTCAGTCTGAGCCAGCGGGTGGGGTTCCGTGCAGCCCTGCAGTGTGCCGCAGGGTCACGTCTGAAAGGAAGGAGCAGGCTGCCTCCACCGTGGAGAGGAAGAGAGGCAGAGGGTGAGGGAGGGGCGAGGGCACAATGAAAATGGACGAAAGATTGGGGGGCAAGCCTTTCAACGGGGCAGACTGCACAGAGCAGGGGGTGCCCCCTGGAGAGCTGGGGTCACTGCTCTTTGCAAACATCGTGCACTTGTTCCTCGCAAAAGCTTGTGCACAGAAAGGATAGAGGAACTGAATAGACATTTTTCTAAATAAAACTTCAAATGGTGGCACAGGGGTTAAGTCTCAGTGCTGTCAAGCTATCAGCAGCCACTGCTGTGTGAGTTGGATCCCCGGCCAGGGAGCTGACCCACATGGCGTGGCAGACCTCTCCTGACCCGCCCGCTGCTCCCCTCAGCAGTGTACTTCGTCGATCTGCCTGTTCCGCTCCCCACTCTGTCTCTGGTGAATCCTCTCACTGCTCCTCTGCCTCCACCCCAGTTCTGTATGCATAAATAAATAAATCTTTAAAAAATATATGGGAGGTGATGGCTGTGTTAATTAGCTATGACAGGAATCCTTTATGTACACATAATTTTATATGTCACAGTACGCTTCATATACCTCACGAGCTCGTGCAGCCTCGAGGAAGGCCCTGTGCACCCCAGCAGCTAATGGTTTCCCAGGGCTGATGATGGCAGAGGGCCGCGCCCCGCCCATGCAGAGCCAGAGCCCCGCGGAGACTGCACCCAGGAGGGGGGACCTGTGCGCACACGTGCCTCGGCTGAGGAGCAGGGGCCTTGAGTACCAGGCCTGCCCACAGCCAAGGACTCGATGGGCTGGCACAGGTCAGGCTGGGTTGTGGACACCCCTCCGCTGAGGCAGAGTGCCGTCACGGGTGGAGGTGGCGTGCGCGTCCCTGACAGGCTGCCTGCAGGGCTATCTGGAGAGGCTCAGGCTGAGTCCTGAGGAGGGGCCTCGGGCCTGTTAGACGGCGTTTTTCCCTGAATGGGTGGCTATGAAATCCAAGCTCACTTGGCCGCATTGGGCCAACCAGTGGTGAGCACGAGGTGCGTACTCAACCGAGGCCCTGCGCCTGAAGGCTGGGTGTCGGGAGGCAAGGCCGGGAGGAACACAGAGGCTCCTGATTAAGAACAAGAATCTGAACACTTGCAAATATCTTAATAGGAAAATGATGATGGGGCTGAACGAGGCAAGAGGGGTGGACAAGAATGGCTTAAACTCTAGACTCAGGAAATGGACCTACTGTCCAGCATCAGTATGAAGCAATCAGGGCCTTTCCTGGGCCAGGGCCCAGCAAAGACTTCTTGTTTTCCTTCTGATGAAGATGAAAACCAGACCCCAGAAGTTGTCTTTGTTCAGAGCACCGGAGCAGGAGAAAAGCTAAGACTACCGGGAATGTATTATTTTCTCCATGGCTCTCAGAATTTCTGCTCCCGGTGTTGTCTGGCCTGCCCTGCTGGCCCTCTGGGTGTCCACTCCCCCTCCACCTCCTCAGGACCTGGCTAAGTCTCCCTGATGTGCACCCGCAGAGGCATCCTCTGGCCACCTGTCAGATCTCATTCTCACCAAGTGCTGGGCAGATATAAATGCTTAATAAATATTTGTTAAGTGACAATGAGATGGATCAAGTTTCTGACCCTCTTCTTCTGTACTGGAAAGGGGGAGCCACAGCCAGAGCAGACCCCAGTCTCCGGGGGAGTGCTCCATCTGTCACCCACAAAGCTTTCCGTGAACTACTTGAGCGACGGCTACGCGTGGCGGGCAGAGCTGCTGCGACCTTCCTGCACAGACACCCCCGGTGTCGTCCCTTCCCCAAGCCGACAGTTCGAGCTGGCACTTGGGCAGAGCACGCTCCCTGTGCGGACAGCCCCCTGCAACCAGGTAAGGGTCTGCTCACTGTCTGCCCCCTTGATAGGGCTGGGCCTGGCGGACGTACTAAAATCAAGCTGGACCCGGCCCTCCCTGGTGGCGCAGCGGGTTAAAGCAGAGCACTGAGAACCTAAAGCCACTTCCGCATGAGTTCGATCCCCGCCTGCCCCGGAGGTGACCACATGGCGCGGCAGACCTCTCCTGACCCGCCCGCTGCTCCCCTCAGCAGTGTACTTCGTCGATCTGCCTGTTCTACTCCCCACTCTGTCCCTGGTGAATCCTCTCACCCTCCGCATCTCTGGCCTGTACCCCAGTTCTGTATGAATAAATAAATAAATCTTTAAAAAAAAAATCAAGCGGGACCAATGCATTGCACAGTTGCACCTTGTCTCCAAAGCACAGGTGGGTTCTGGTCCAGAGAGGCGAGGCAAGCCTGCCCGCCAGAGACTGCGACGCACACCCGTCAATCCCGACCAAGCCGGAGGCACCGCAGCGGGGCACATCGTGGTGGTTGAGGTGACAGACGGGGAGGTGGAGAATGGTAGGGGAATCAGAATGGGTGTAGGAGCCGGTCAGGGGGCCCCAGAACAGTCTGTGCCCGTGGGTTTCTGCTGCCAGGAGCGGGGCAGCTAGCCTGGGAGGGCTTGTGACAGACACACTGGCACATCCTCAGCATCGTCCTCAGAGGGTCTTGGAAGCTGACATTGAACAAAACGTCGTATAATGCTAGCATGTCCTTGAGCAAGGCCATCTTGTTCGACCTTGGCGGGGATCTTTTTTTCTAAGTGTTATAATGGAACAACATTCAATGTTATTCAAGCTGCCGTACTTGGTGTCTTAAGGTTTCTGATGCAAAGCTGGTGGAACCGTATTGTAATACAACCTATGACAAAGGCTCCCACCCCACGTAGGCCGCCGTGCCTCTCACACAATAACTAGCCTGTAGCTCAGGTTCTCGGAATAAGAGGGCCCTTGTACTTGGAAACAACTCTGCTGCAAACACGGAGCTAGAGAAGTGCTACCATCTGAGGCCAGCACTAGCCTGCTGGCTCTTCACTTCTGCACCAGAAAACGTCCTGAAGACCAAAGTGCTCAGGGAGGATGCCTATGATTTCAAAGGGTTCAGGACTCCAGGCAAAGAACCTTTTTCAGGCCAGCCTTCACTTGTGTTTGAGGCGACTGAGGCCTGGTGCAGTCACGAAGTCACAAATAACTAGCCACCTGGGTCTTCTAATTGCCTCCAACTGCAGGAGAGACCAAAGCGCGCTGGCCCACAGCGGCTACTTCTGAGGCCAGAGGCGCACCACTTTGTCCGCCTGTCCTGCTGCAGCTGGCTGAGCTGCCTTTGGGGCAGGGCAGTCAGACAGAGAAAGTGAGAGGGGAGAGTGGAGTGACCCAAGCCTCCAAACACTATTTCCTCCCCTTTGTTTTCCATACGGAACAGGTATGCATTTTACAAAAATCTCCTTGGTATGCATTATAGTCGGGTATCAAGCCCAGAGAGACTTGTGGCACAAAGGCTGATTTCGAGAGGTAACGCCCTCTGCAGAGCTCTGATAACTGCCGCCCCCTGCACACACACCCCAATAAAATTGAGCTAAGCTGTCATCCTGGTAACAGAAGGAGATACTTTAGTCTCCCACTTCTCTCTCTGACTCATGGATACCTGCCAGGTAGCAGATGGCCCGTGTGCACAATTACCTTCATTTTGCTGCAGTGTATTTAAACTAAACAAACTGGCCTCTTTACTACAGATGTTCAGAAGTCCTCTCAGAAAAAAAAAAAAAAAACAACAACCAAAAAACAAAAAACAACACTGGGAGGAAGATTGCTACTCTGAAATCTGGGCCAGGCAGGTGTGAGTGTACAGAGGATGGGGATGTATAAAGAATGGCTTTGTGTATTTTTTTAAGAAAGGGTCAATAAAAATTTCAGATACTATTTTGAGCTAGTGCTGGTGGAGACTGCTGGAAACAGGCATCAAATGTGGAAGTCAAAGGAGAGAGAGGGCCCTCTGGGGCTGCACTGTCCTGCTGCAAGGCTTGGAAATAATTGCCCCGCAGGTAGAGGACCTAGGTGGGGTGACCAGACAATGGGAACAGGGCTGGAGGTGGGGCAGAGAGACACCTGCTTGGCCGTGGTCAAAGAAGCAGGGGAGGGTCCCTCTGGGGTGGACTAGAACCAGGTAAAGGCCTTGCTGGGGGCCTCCCTGTCTTAGCAAAGGTGCCCACTGCAAGCTGGAGAGCAGTGCGACTTTTGGCGGTAAACTTACCTTCTACGCACTTGAGAGACGGGTTGAAGAGTTTGATGTCTCTTCTCTTATAACCACTAATGCACGTTTACCTATCCTGTGGGCTGGAAGAGTGGCCCCCTAAAGCCCACCATGAGTTTTCTCCCATGTCACTTCAGGAGACTCAGTGCCTGCACGTAATATGCCGCTCACAGTGGGGGTGTGGGAGTGGGGGCTTGTAGGATGGCTGGGCCCTGGATGCTCACTGTGGCGATGAATCAGAGGCTGTGGCGCTCAGTCGCCATGATTCTGTCCCTATTCAAGACTAATGATAATATGCAGAAGACAAAGCTTACCCCAGGGCTTAGAAGGGTGGGGGCTGGGGGGGACAAGGTGTCTAGTTATCTTTCTTACTGGAAGAAGGGAAGCATATTAAGTTCCCAAGACAAAGAAAAACCTATTAAAACTCCCCATAAAGCCAAAGATGAAAAGAAAGTTGAGATTTAAACTTTTAGATAGGGGAGCTCATAAATTCCAAGCCTAGAATTACCCTCTTTCTGTTTGTTTCTCCTCATTTGCTCAGCTCTATTTGAAAACGGTGTTCCTTTAATTCTCATTTCAGGATTTCAAAGCCAGTCCTCTGCAAAGTGATCAGGGGCCTCGCTGGGGGAAAAAAATCCCTCTATAATGAATGCCAAACACTCAGATTGCATAGTAGGAAGAAAAGAGGACGGGCTCACAGGACAGCGGGGTCCTTAGCTAGAGGGTTAAATCGATGA